AATCATGGATCGCCTGCCTCCTGCACACCCCCTATTGGGGATCGAGCCTGCAACCTGGGCACGTGGCCTTCACGGAAATTGAACCTGGAACCCTGTGGTTTGCAGGCTGATGCTCTATCTACTGAGCCAAACCAGCTAGGGCAATAAAAATCTATTTTTTTTAAAAAGTGAACACAAGCATCACCTCTGCTGTATGACTTTTCTCCACTGTACTTATCCTATAAAATGAAAGCTTTCTGAAAAGACAGGGTTTCTTCTTACTGCTCTACTCACTGTCTAGAATACTTAAGTCCATTTACATTCCCCTCCCCATTGACCCCCTCTAGCCCATCCCTAACCTCCCTCCCCCCCCCCCCCCGTTCCCTCCCCTTTCTCCAGGCCTTTAGCACCTTATTGTCTGTGTTCATGCATTAGGCATATGTGCATTCAAGGTCTTTGGTTGATTACCTCCCATCCACCACCTCCACTGCCTTTCCTCTGAGATTCCGCACTCTTCCATGCAGTCCATTTACATTTAATGTAATCACTGATAAGAGAGCCTTTTACATCTGCCATTTGCTATTTGTTTTCCATATGCCTACTGTGTACCAGCACACAGTAGGCACATATAAACACCTGAATGAGAAGAGTAAGTCCAATTTTTTTAATTTTTATTATTATTTAATACTTTAAAAAACTGGATTGCTTGTATTTTCAAAGGTCAGCTTCAGCATGTGCTAACTTCAGGAGGCTCCAACTTCCTTATTCAAAAACGATCTCTTGCTTTCTCCTTTTCTTTTAAACTTTTTGATATGAAAAACTTCAACACAAAAGTAAAGTGAACAGCGCCCGGCCGTCATTGCTCAGTGGTTTGCTTCCGGTCAGATACATGCCCAGGTTGGGGGCTCTGTCCCCAGTTGGAGGTATGTAGGCAATAGATGAAGTTTTTCTGTCATCAATGTTTCTATCTCTATCCCTCTCCCTTCCTCTCTCTCTAAAAATTAATAAAAACATTTTTTTTAAAGTAAAGTGAACAGTATAAAGAACTCCCAAGAACCCATCAGTTGAAAGGATTATCGATACGACTCTACCCTTTTATTTCATCTAGCTCCCTACTTTTTCTTCTAGAGTTCTTTGCTTTTCCATAACCCCTCTTAGAAGGCGGCAGCCGCTGCAACCTGGTGACTTAAAAGGAAAACTCCTCTCGATGCTTGAGTCTCAGGCTTGCACTTATCTCAGGCTTATTTCCTGGAGATAAGTCTGGTCGCAAGGTGAAACTTAAGAAGGAAGAGACCCCTGCCAGCAACGACAGGTCTTCAGAATCATTTCTGCTATGAAAATCAATTTAGTTGCACTTAGCTATGGATCCCCAACACTTAAAGACTTCATTAAGATCTCTAACTATAAAACCTCAGCTTATAGTTTCTCCTATTTGGACATATGGGAAGATTGTGAAATCACACTTTCCTTGAAATTTGAAATATTATTATCTATTATACTGGTTTTAGTTCCACAATTACTTATTTATTTTGATAACACCTACCTCTTGCTCTCCAATTTTATCATAAATCTTAAGTTTTTAATCTCCACATCTTGCCTTTTTCTTTATTGCTTTCTTTATGCACAATTTTCTACCCTTTGCTTGAAAAACAAAATTACCTACCAGCTAAACTTCTAAAATTATTAGGAAAACAAATAACTAAAATACATATTAAAATGAATATCAAAAAAGACAGAATCACAGGTATGGAGAACAGCTGCTAGGGGTTAGAAATGGACGAGGGCTGAGGTGACTGTGACTTGTTGATGAATGTTCTATACCTTCACTGTGGTCACATGAATCTACACCTGTGATAAAATTGCCCAGAACTAACTACACACACAAATAAGTGCCTGGAAAACTGATGAAATGTGAATAAGCTCTGTGGACTGCACCAACACCAATTTTTTAATTTTGATATTGTTCCTGCAATGGGAAAATTCGGGGGGAGGGTACACAGGACCTCTCTATTATTTTTTTGCATCTCCCTGTGAATTTAAAATTATTTTGTTTTTAAAAATAATGTTGATAAATATATACAAGCCTTTACTCGTCAGAATTATTCATGCCACACTTTCACTTCTCATAAAAACCAAATCATTTTTTATAGTTTCGAAATCAACAACTTTGTAATTGTTATGCATTCAAAAATACTATCCTTTAAAGTGCCAGGAATCCTGTGGGCACACACAATAAAATGAACATAAAGTTATAAAGAGCAAGATAATAAAGCTGTTCAATGAAATGCCCAATGCATAACTTTGCTTACTGTTTGAGATATTTCAGCATGATACATTCTCACAGAGATGCTACGTCCCTCAAGGGATAACTATTGATAGCGTGGAGCTAGAGAGGTCAGCATTGAAAGTACACAGGAATCACTAACGCGTAGGACTTTAGGTTTGAGTGGGCGCAAAAAGCAGAAAGAGAGGGGATGCAGAAAGGAGACAAAGTCAGAGCAAAATCCATTTTCCAGAATAGTCTGTGGCATAATTAAAACTCAAAAGTCCTCCCCGTTCAGGGTTCCTTACTGTGAGTCAGTTACCAGTTTGGCATAAAGATCTAAGCAAACAGGTTTCCTCCAAGGGCACACATACAGTTCATGGTGCCAATACCACGTAGCTGGCCCATTTCACTGCAGCCCCAAGGTGGCTACATTCAGAGAAAATGAGAGACAGAGAGAGAGCCCTCTAAAACAGTCATAAAGCAGCAGGACAGTCCATTCAATAGAAGGACTTCTTCCCTGTTTCAAAAATAAAAACACCACACGAAACAAATAAAAATGCTACTTATTTTTATTACTTTGTGGTTTATTTTAATTCTTGAGGGAAAAAAAGCCAATTCTACGAATTACTGGCCATCCATGGCCATCCTCGTGTAACAGCTCTATGGGAAAAGTTCTGGCTTCAAATCAGAGCCATGTTAGGGGTTCTGTTTAAAATATTTCCTACTCTTCTACATGTGCTCTAAAAAAGAGGCTGAAAAACAACAACAATACAAATCCAACTGGCCAAAGAGAGGAGAGTTCTGGTGGACAATCGGACTACTGTGTTGCAAATTAAACTGTTCACACCTGCAGCATAACCAATCTCCCCTGAAAAGCAGCCCCATTGTAGCAAAAGGGGGATCTCTTCTTCCACTAACTAGATCCTATCTTTCGCTGATAAACTCTTTGGATGAGAAAACCAGCAGCAGATGTGAAAGCCACATGGCCCTCTACAAAGCAGGAGAGCAAAAAGCAATGTTAGAAGAAAAGATTCCTTAAACAGCAGCTCCCTATCAGGAGTGGAGATTTTATCGTCTAATGCTGACTCTGTGGAAAGCAGCGAGCTATTAGACGCTATTCCAAGACTCCGGCTCACAGTATCAGGCTGACATCCAGGAGTTGGACTCGCTCAGCTACACCCTTGTTTTCAACTCTTGGGAACCGGGCCAATGTGTAAAGTTAGAATATAACAAACCCAGTTTGCAGGGGGAAAGAGAAGACAATGTGGGCACTCTTACTCAATGTAATCGATAGGCCCCGAGCGTGGTTTACACTTCAGTACATTTTCATTTCGTGCATTTTAGCCTTTGAATAATTTCTTCCATAATTTCCCAAAGATTTCCACACTGTGCATTAAAAGAGAGTTGCTAACACCCCCATCGAAGTGACACTGTGGCAATCAAGAACACTGAAGACTTTTTCAATTACACATTTAAGTAGAAAAATACAGGGTATGGCAAAAGTAGGTTTACGGTTCTGAGTACGTGAAACACAGGGTTTATTCTTATATTATCATTTGTAAATTATTGTATTATTTTTCCATACAAACAACTGTAAACCTACTTTTGCGCTGCTCTGTAATTTTGATTAAGCAAAATGCTTCATAAAAAATCATGTAAAAGCAGAAACTCTATAAACTGTCCCGTTTTATGTGTGATTTCATTGAACTGCCACAGAAATAGTAAGCACTAGAGTCTCAATTTGGCAAGAGTTTTCACCACTCTCAAACTGCCTTAATATTTTTAACTTCACATTCTTGATGGGGCTTTGGATTTTAGAGTATGTTTCTCCTATCACTCAACCTTACCAAACCCTTTCTCTTAAAGGTACAGACACTTGTGCAAAACACATTATTGAAATCAGGGGTGGGAACTGGTAACCACTAAGCAAGTTATTTGTTTGGCAGTTATGGACAATAGGTACCACGGTGTCCATGAAAAGCCAGCAATCATATACACATTTAGCTTATGAGGAATTACATGCTCTTCACCAAGAGAAGAGAAGAGATTAATTTTAATCTTGCCTCTTAAATCATGCCAAAGGCACAGTGGCATCACCTGGTTAGAAACACAGACTACTGGGTCCCATCCTGGACCTCCTGAACCCAAATTTGCATTTTATCAAGATCCCCTGTGACGCATGTGCACAATACAGTTTGGCCCAGACGCTATCTCCCACCATCCCTCTCCATGAATGTGCGCTCCAGATAAGCATGGGATGGGTGTCACTGACCTGCAATTCCCTCGGTGGGTCTCAGGTCTCACATGCCTCACACCTCACTGAGTGCGGTTCTGGTGTTTAAAGAGTAATTTGGACTATATGCCTAAAACATGACTTCACTGTTTTGTCCCCAGGTTGACCCTCAGCTCCCAACCTAACGACTGGCTTGATTAAACCAAGGGCTGGCATCTTTGCATTAAAAACGGTGAGGACATTAGCAGCTCAGGCGAGCTCAATAAAGACGGCGCTGTCAGCCTGGAGCGCACAGCCACAGGTCAGCCATGACTCAGACTGCAGGGGGTCACAAAAAGATAATCACCAGTAACAATGTTGAACACAAGTTCAAGGTTGCTTTCCTTTGCATTAAGATGCTACCCGATTCATTAATTCTTTAAAGCTGGTTATTCTGGTAAGTACATTTCTGTTATGGAGGAGCTTCCTATACTTTAATGACATATGTAGATAGATCTTGAATATCGGTTAATGACAGCTTACCTGTGCACACCTTCCCAGGTCTTTCCTGTCCAGATACTGAAATATATTGATTGCCAATTCATAAGGCAGTTGGATATCAAAGAAGGGCACATCGTCCATTTCATTCTGAGAAGAAAAGGAGAAAGGCAATGAGCTTACAATTTTGAGATTTTAAAATGCTCATATCTACAGGCCCTATATATATATATATATATATATATATATATATATATATATATATATAAATAATTGATTTTTTTTACAGAGAGGAAGAGAGAGGGATAGAGAGTTAGAAACATCGATGAGAAAGAAACATGGATCAGCTGCCTCTTGCACACCCTCTACTGGGGATGTGCCTGCAACCAAGGTACATGCCCTTGACCGGAACGAACCCGGGATCTTTCAGTCCGCAGGCCGACGCTCTATCCACTGAGCCAAACCGGTGTCGTCTATAGGCCCTTTTAATTACCAGAGATATTCTTAGGTGACAAGAGAGATGATGGTGTTTCCCAGGGAGCCAAGGGTTGTCACTATTCAGCAGAGCTCAGTCATAGAACTAACTCTAAACTGAACAACCATTCTCAATTCTCTGCCCCCCCCCCCGCCCCAGTCTACTGCAAGTCTACCCTCACATTCACGTACGAAATCCACAAGACCATTTCCCATTGTGCTTCAAAAGGAGCAGCAGGTGGATCTTACAGGTGGTGTATCGTGGGTATCTGTGCACAGGTCTGTGGGAAGCCTCTTGGTCTCTAAGGAAAGGTAAGCAGCAGGCAGCCAAGAGTGAGCCATGAAAGCAGGTCAGCCAGCGGTCCTCTTAGGACAACTGCTACCAACGCCCTGGCCCTTCCAACGGGAGGGGAGTGCCCCAGAGCCACAGGAGAAACGCCGACCTAGGTCACACAAGTGTTCTCATCGGGAAAGGGGAAGAGGGCCGTGAACATGAGCAAAAGTAAATAAATGAAACGCTGCCCTAGAGCGAGGTGAACACGGGCCCGCCGTGGCCGCGGGAGAAGCACCAGGTTTCCTAATGCAGCGGGGGCTCACACTGGTGGACCTGCGCGGGCCAGTGCAAACAAAGCAGTTCTTCTTCGGTGTCATTTATTAATGCGGAGAAATTAGAGCTCGCCTGCCTTTGGATAAGCAATTAGGGATGAGGTAACAGGCTTTATTTGAGAGATAAGGCTGTCATGACGATCCTGGTAGCACAAAGAAATATGAGTGTGAAACAGAAAAGAAAACCAAGTGTACATATGCAACCCTCTGCCTGTTCCCGAATCCACCTGCCAAAGCTCCCTTTGGTGTTTGCTTCTGCAAAGCTAGGCAAAGCAGTGCTCTTGGTCCCAACAGAACTTGCTAATAAAATTCATCTTTAAAAAGCTTTGGCTGACATCAGTGACTTACTGGTTGCAAACAAATTACTAATTCATCACTCAAGTATAACAATTATTTATCAGAAGGCTGAAGTCTCAAAAGTGAAAATAGTCTCAGCATTTTTAAGAGAGTGTGAGCACCAATTTAAACCCTTCAAGATTCAAGGTAAAGATTGTTCTGGTATCATGTTTTCCATTCACCTAGGAGTCTCAGGGCTAACAGATAATCCAGGGCATAAGAAAGTATTATATTTAACTACAAAAACAGTGCAAAGCTAAGTGTGAGGCCAAAAAGGATCTCTAGAGGAAAAAAGAGTTAAGAGTTGACAGTTCTCTGTGGGTAAAGAAGGAACAGAATGTTAAATCAAGAGAGAAATGTTGGCTATACAAGGAGGGGGGGGGGGGGACAGGAAAAAATCTGTCAGTGTAATTGGAAGACAAAGGGATCCTTGCCTAAAAAAATAATGAGAAGTCAGCAGTCTAATGTCAGGCTAGGAAGCCTCCTACAACTAACTGGCTTCCCTCATCGAGAAAAAGAGGCATCGCGTTCTCTACCCCAGATGCGACTGCGGCTCCTCACACACCCCTAGAGTGAGCCACAGGCAGGCGAGGCAGGAGGCCACGAGGCGTGAGACTGTCATCTGCAACCCGGGACTTCGCCCTGCCTTCTCTTTTGATTATCTGCCTCCGGTGAGTGGAAACATCCACCTTGCCAGCTCCTAAGAGCAAAGAGAGAAAAACGTTCCTTGTTCTCACACAAGTAGAACGAAGGCAAAGAAAGCCTGCGCCCGTGAGCTCAGCTTTCACTGCTGACGGGCCAGGCAGTGCTTCCTCCCGTCAGCCCCTTCGGGACCCACGGACCAGCAGACAGGGCCTGGACTTGACACCACTGAGAAGAAGCATGAGAAGTCACCTGTGTTTTTAGTTACTTTGATGCGGGAAAGTCTTACTTCTGGTGGCAGCAGCCTTCCCCCTTTTGCCTATTCAGTTGGCCAATCTCCTATTTTCATCCTAGAAAACGAAGCCTCTACCTTAGCATTCTCCAACCCTGCCACCAACTTCCTTGATCCCAACTACCGAGACCTCTGGGAGGCAGTATAGCATGGAAGTTTAGAGCAAAGATTCAAACTGATTGATGATCCTGGCTCTTCCTCCTGACCAGCCATGAGACCAGGCTAAATGCATTTGAGCCTCAGTTTCCTCATCAGCAAAACAGGGTATAACTACCTGCGAAGAATAAAATGAGCCCTAGCCAGTTTGGCTCACTGGATAGAGTGTCAGCCTGCAGACCGAAGGGGCCTGCATCAAGGGCACATACCTTGGTTGCAGGCTCCCAGCCCTGGTCAGGGGCATGCGGAGGCAACCAATCAATATATCTCTCTCACATTGGTGTTTCCCTCTCTCTCTCTCTCTCTCTCTCTCTCTCTCTCTCTCACACACACACACACACACACACACACACACACACACACCCCGCCTTCCTCTCTCCCTCCTTCCCACTCTCTCTAAAAATCAATGGAAAAACGTATCTTTGGGTGAGGATTTAAAAAAAAAAAAAAAAAGGAGAGGATAATTACATGGAAAGGGCTTGGCATAAGTAAGTACCAGGGCTAAGCACACAATCATAGAATGTTAATATTGCCATTTTCTTTCCTTGAGTGACACTCCCAACTCCTTTCCATCAACAAATGTGTATGGATTAGATCCACATCCCAAAATACTCCCCTACCACTTTGTTGTTTACAGACAAAGTTGTCTCCCCTGTCAGGGGCTGGCATAGCAGAGGCTAAGTAATCCAGGAGTCTGAACACTGTTGATGTCCATACAACAGGTCTTTTCTGAGGAGGCTTTTTAAAAAGAATCATCAAGTATAAAAGGTTATACACAGTGAAAGATCAGATACACCATGCTCGTCTCACTGTCAGTGCACCAGTTGTGATAGTTCTTGGTCACTTCTAAGTTCTGAAGGGCAACAATTGTTTTAAAGCATTGATTAAAATTAAAGTCAATACCAACATTACAAAATGAAACTTTTTTTAAAAAGTCACTGGGCTCTTAGAATTTTATCTAAACTCCAAAATGATGGTCAATCCCAAACAGATCAAGTCCCAGACTTTAAGTAAACAACCTCCCCTGTTGCTACACTGGCTGGGGAATGGCAGGGAAAAAGGAGAACCAGTATACCAAAGGAAGGTCTCCTAGGCCAGGAGAACAAATGCTGAAGTCTCATGTTGTGCACTGGGCATCTTTTTGGCAAGACAGCCTACCAGTGGCTTTGTGAGGATCTGCAGTGGGTCACTCACATTGTCTCTCTGGGCCCACAACACTCACCCCCCGATGCCCAGAACGCTGCCTGCTGCTGGCTTGCAGCCGAGTCCCTTCTCAGGCACTGCCACTGGCCAAACAAGATGCTTCATCTAAGGCTGCATCCCCTCCTGGAGGGCAGTCTATATCCAGGGACTCGCCAATACCCACAATACACGAGTCCGGTCCCCTGGACCTCTCAGAAAGGCCAACCCACTAGACCACCACATGCAAATCTCCAGCTCAGAGCCCCTTTCAACCTTTTTAACCAAAGCGATAGACACAATCCATGATAGTCCTGTGTTCCACACATCCCCAAGGGTTCTCATACACAACTTTGGTAACAATGGGTAACCTACTTCCATCTCCTCTATTCGAGGAGACATAATGGAATATAGGCAAACCAGAGTGGCATTATTATAAAACAAAAAAACAAAACAAGAGTATCTTCAAGGTGAAGCAAATCATTCACTTTGTTAATAGTAATGTTATCACTTGGGAAACATCTTACTAAGAACTGAGTTATGAGCATGTTTGACCTTGTGGTTGAAAATGCAACTCTTTATAGGAACCATAATTAGACAAGAAACAGGAGCCACATCTTGGACAGAGGCTGTAGCTCTGTAACCACCTACACCCTAAGAGCAGCAGCAGCAGCATGTCTTAAGCTCTGGCTTGGTCTTCCCAGAGTTCATAAATATAAGCAAAGAATGTTACTTGCTACTAATGTGCAGAAAAATACTCTGTAAACTAAAAGGTACTATCAGACCTCCACCTAAGCCTTTCTGAAGCACACAGCCATTTAAAAATTATGGAACACATTCACCAAGTCTGTATGTATACTGTCTTAAAAACATGGGCACGGATAAACTGGAATTTAAGAAAAAAAAGATATTGCAAGAAAAAAGAGATTAAAGACACTGGAAATATTAATATAGGAAAACCTATATTAATAGGTCACACAGTAAGACTGTCAACATGACTAAAATGTTTAGAGAGAATAGTAATTTCGCAGTAATAGCCCAAGCAACGTAAGAATGGCTCAATTTATGATCCAGAAAAGCAATAAATTCAAAATATTAACAGTCCTTCAAATTTAAAGAAAAAATCTTTTTGGTAACATACAATCTGACTTTTAATTAGTTAATGGCTCAGATATTGATTTTCTACCTCTATTGATGACTCGTGTCCTGTATTACTCATCAAAACTATCTGTAGCATTAAAATATGCCCATGGTCTCTCAGACCTACTGCCGCCAATTTCCAAGGGTGGGCTTAAGCATCTCTTCCTCGGGGAGCCTTGTGCACACTAAAAGTTGAGAATCAAAACCCTAAATTATAGACTGATATAAAAATCAATACTTTCTCAACCAAGAAGAAAAAAAAAAAAAAAACCCACAAAAAAAAACACAGAGGGGTCAAGTTACTTTGTTAATTCAAAGTCAGTGA